GCACACACATTTCTCAAAGTAAGGAACAGACTATAAACTTAATGTTTGACATAGCAAAACAAAATAACAAAGGCAGAGCTCTGTTGGAAGGATAACCTGTAAGATGATTAGAAAATCATACCCCAGCACAGACATGGATAATTTGAAGAGCCTATTAAATAGAAAATTAACTCTTGAATAATTTTTGGTGTTTACATACAATTACCAATTTGGGCATTATGGGTTTAGGTATCTTCATTAGAAATTGTGCATTTAAGAATTGAATCATCTGAGCTATCATAAAAGCATTTTGGTTTTAAGGATACCACTTTTAACTACTGGAGAAATTTACTGCAATTTCAAGTTATATATTATTTGAACAGTTCAGAGTTAAAATAGATTCCATGAATTTGGGGAAGAAAGCAGCCACAGAATAAGCCATAAAGTACTTGGTTATGCCTCTAGGTAATATTTAGCTGAGTTTTGGAATTTGTATGCCTCTTTGAGCTTCAAAATTTATTTCTATTACATTAGGTTTTGAAATAAAAGAGGACTTATCTGTGACACTTCATCTTTTCTCTATATCCGTCATCAAACACTTACCTTGTTTTGCAATTATTATTTAGTACTTTCATATATTGCAAGGCACCTTGAAGTAATTTTAATTATTATGACAAGTGGGTTACAGAAATACTATGTGATTCTATATGAATTTCTATATGACTTTTTTTGGTATCTCTGGGTTTTTGGCTATCTCCTGCTTATAAGAAAGTGTATTTTGCCATGCTATTGCCTTCAAAAAGTTTCAGATCTCCTAGATTAACAATGCACCACAGGGCAAACACAGGCTAACCTACAGTCAGAATTTAAATGTCAACCCTCATGGGCCTAATGCAGGATACTAAGGAAAATCATGATTCGTATTCTGTGTTCTCTAAGGCCGAAAAAGTGTCTTGACTCCCAAGAGCTGGGTGTCAGCAGGCCTTAGCACAGTGATTCTCAGTGTAGCAAAAGTGGTTGAAAACCATATCAAGGACTGAAACACTGAAGGGCCAAAGCTATCTCCTAAAACACAGGAAACCCAGAGAATATGAAGTATGGCAGCGATCTCGTGGTTTCCATCTGTTCAAGAAGAAGTTGCGTAAACATTTCAGTTGGTTTTTATTCCCAGCCCTCGTCCTGCTGGTGTTGTTTACTACTCACTGCACGCGCCTGATATATTTTATTAACCGAGAGCAATCTGCTTTTCTGTGACTTGGATGTGATTGTCGTATATGGTAGCACCCCGCCTTATCCACGGGGGATATGTCCCAAGATGTCCCAATGGATCCCTGAGACACAGATAATTCCAGCCTCTCTCTCTCTCTCCTATGCCTACGTACCTACGTTAAAGTTTAGTTTATAAAGTAGGCACAGCAACAACAATAGTTAATAATAAAATAGAACAATTATAAAAATATACCATAATAAAGGTTATCTCTTTCTCAAAGTATCTTACTGTACTATACTCGCCCTGCTTCTTGTGATGATGTGAGACGATACAGTGCCTACGTGAGGAGCTAAAGCAAAGTACTCAGAATGATGCACAATTTAAAATGTATGAATTGTTAATTTATGAAATTTTCCTTTTAATATTTTCAAATCATGGTTGACTACAGATAACTGAAACTGTGGAAAGTGAAGTCATGGATCAGGGACCACTACTGTAATGATAATAACACCATCATATGATTTATGTTTTACGGTTTACAAAAGACTTTTACAGACATTGTTACATGTAACCCTTATGACAAGCCTGGGATGTAGGTAGGGCAGACGTTATTTTATTCATGAATAATGTGAAACTTAGAGCAGTTAATTGATTTTTTTAATGGTTTAAATGGTAAGTTTCATGTTATGTATATTTTCCTGTTAAAAAATAAAAATAAATAAAAATAAAGGAATTGGTACTGATACCATACTGTCATATAGACCTTAAAAACATTATCTACATGAAAGAAGCCGGATACAAAATACCGCATATTACGATTCCACTCATATGAAAATGTTCTAAAATTGTGGTGAGAGTTGTACATATCTGTAAATATACTAAAAACTATTGAAATATATAGTTTAGATGGGTGAATTGTATGGTACGTGAATTATGTCTCAATAAAGGTGTTAAAATTTTAATTAGTTTTAAATCTAGAATCACATTTATTTGAACTTATGAAGACCTTAAGTGGTATCCAGTAAATTCTGGAACCAGATTCTGGTGACATGCTGGGAAAATGAAGAACAAATAAATGAAAAGATGGATTTAGAATGGCTGGCAGGGTCTACGAGAAAGGCCTGTCGCGGGGCGTGGTGGCCAGAACAAAGGCAAGACTACCAAACACACTGGCTTGTGGTTGACCAGAGACCTTCAGTCTGGTCCCTGTCGCGCATTAAGCAACCTACACAAATCATTTTCTTTGTCTCTGCCTCAAGCGGCAGCAGCTGCATCCAGGCTGGAAATGGAAGCCACAGCAGTGGGAGACCTGGTAGAGGAAAACTAGCAGATGACATCTCGGTTTATTCCAGTTTAGGTGAAATTAGAACAGGAAAGGTACCTAAGCGTGGCTTTCCAAAGACTCTTCTTCCAAGCTGAGGCCTGAAGGGTGCAGGGGAAGGCTGACGAAAGTGCGCAGCTCAGCAAAGTACCTTCCAGAAAAGCAAATCCATCCATAGCTTCTATTGAATTTTCCAAATCTCTCCCCTGCAGGCTTTTCCTCGCTCCTTGTTGACCACGGCAATAGGCACCTCCTGGACAGTCCCACAAACAGTTCCGCGGCTGGTGCCAGAATGAAGATGGCTTTAGGGTCACGGGGTGTCCACCCTAACCAAGGCCTTCCCGGTGCCAAGGCAGCCAGAGAGACAGCCCCGCGCCTCCCCACTGGGCCCCTCCTCCGGCCCGAGCTGGGCGCAGATGGAGCCTTTAAAAGGTCACACAGCTAACAGAAGGGTGTTGGAGCTGGAGCCCAGGCCTCTTGACTCGGAGTCCAGACTTCTTTCCATTATTCTTGGATTTCTATTACAGCACCAGGCTAGTTGATGGCCACATTCCCGGGTGACTCTGTTTGATGGGAAAATGGGGGTAAAGATGTGAAAGTATTCGCATTTCATGGCAGAGCGAGCATGGGGACCGAGACTCCCGGATGCAGCTGCTCTTCTGACTTAATTGCTGAATTGTGGAATTTGACAATCAGTAGAGCAATGAGTAGACTCGATCTTTTTCTGTTTAGTTGGTTGGCTGTTTTTGTTATTCTGGGATCTTGGAGAAAAACGTGTTGTTTTCAAATAGTTTTGGCGGGGGGGAGGGGCTCTAGTCTTTCTCAATATGAGCCTTTCCAGTCTTAACTTCCCTCATCACAAAATATTTATTTCTAACCTAAATCCTGACTGCTGTCATTTAAGCCCAAATCCCTTTGTTCAGTAGGTGCTAGTGTAAAATTTTTATTTATAGTTTTTGGAAGGGTGAAGGAAATATGTTTTTAATGATTTTAGACCGCTGACAAGCCCTAATAACGGATAGTTCCGGGCATTGAGCTGAATGCCTTTTGGCGGGGACGGCTATTTTGAGGGGAAAAGGCAGAAACTGGCAGAAACTCTTTTCATGCAGGTGTGATTTTAGGCTGGAATTTTATGGCCGAAACCAATCTAGTGTCCTATGTGTGGTTTATGGTGTTATCAGCTTGTAGGCTGCGACTTCTCTCTCATTATTCATTACTCATGTTTATTTGGCTTAAAGCAAATTAAAAATCAGACAAGAATATATTGTGATGTAATTTTGATTTTGCAGATGTAATCTGACAGCTGAGCAGCTTCAGAGAAGTCTCCTTCTTTAATTTGTGCTATTTGTAGTTCTATTCTGAAAAATGCTTTTGCTTTTCCAAAGGCAGACATCGTGCTTATCTGTGTGGCTTGTGCAATTCTGAGCACTCTAATAGCACTTGATGTTAATGGCAAACAAGAAGAGCTTTGCATATTAGAGTTACTTTCTAGCTTTAAAGATTTTAAAGATGGGATTTTAAAACTTAGTCCATGCTGAAGAAAAAAATGTAGCTGGAGTTCTCAGACTACGGTATATATTGATGTATATTTTTTTCTTCAATTTGTATAGTACATGGGGTAAAATTCATGAAAGAAGCTTGTGTTTTTCCCTTCTGAAGTTCCAATTTGTTATCATTCATGTTCAGTGCCAGAAACAGGTGTCCCTTTTAGAGAGATGTTAGAGCCCCTGTCACCTTCTCAGCTTTCTTGTGAGTGGTCACCTTTCCATGGCATTGTGGGGACCTGGCTCTGACCCAGTCTGATTGGCCCAACTGTGAGCATCAGACCAAAAGGTGGCATTTGTACGCTGACCAGTTTATCCCTTTCAATGTTAGCCTCCCAATTTCCCTGCCCTTATGCTTTATAATCAGCATGCTCACGCACACATGCCCCCCTCTGCCCTGTTTCTTTCTTTTTCTACACCTCCAGGCCTTCCTTATTTTCTGTTTGTTTTTACCACCATTCCATCTCCTTACTACCCAGTCCCTGATTTTGTACTTTTCTTTGCACATCTCGCATTTGGTTCCTACTGCATGTCTCTAGCCTTTTTTTAAGCCCCTTTCTTCTCCATTACAAACGTACTCAAGTTTAAAATAAATAAACAGAAATCAGTATCTATGGATGTCATATCAAATTTTAATATTGTAAATGTATAGCAGTTGTGAATGGATAACATCTCTGCTTGGCATACATGGTAAGACTCCAACTTGAGTCATGGACATACGAAAAAATGAATTCAATATTCCTTTTGTAATTGTTCCTTGTTGTGATGGATTGAATTGTATCCCCTCCCCTATCCTCCCAAATTCATGTGTTGAAGCTCTAACCCCCAATGTGATCATATTTGGAGATAGGGCCTTTGAAGAGGCCATAGGGCCAAGCCCTCATCCAGTATGATTGGTGGTGTCCTTATAAGGAGAGGGAGAGACACCAGGTGTACTTTCTCACAGAGAAACGACCTTGTGAGGACACAATGAGAAGGCAAGGACACTGCGAGCCAAGGAGAGAAGACTCAACAGAAACCAACCCTGCTGGCACCTTGCTTTTGGAATTCCAGCTCCCATAACTGTGAAAAAATAAATTTCTGTTGTTTAAGCCATCCAGTCTGTGGTATTTTGTTATGGCAGTTCTAGCAGACTAATACTATTATATATGACAGAGTTTTCAAGACTCAGATTTGAGCAACTCAAAATGATATACTTAATTCCAATCAGCAGCCGTGTCAATACCTGATTGATTAATCTCTGTAATCATGACACCTGGAGGCTGTACATTCAACATTAATGTTAGTGGGGGTGTGATCAGACCTTAGTGGCCTGTGCTTCTCAGTTATGCAAGATAAGTGAGTTCTAAGGATCTGCTGTACAACACGCTGCCTATAGATAACAACACTGTAAGGTACACTTAAAAATCTGTTAAGAGGGTAGAACTCATGTTAAGTGTTCTTACCACAACAAAACAAAACAAAACAAAAACCAAAACAAAACTTTTCTTCCCCTGCCGCAACTAGGTTGAAATCTCAGGTAGAATACAGTTTGGTGTTGGCATTTGTCCTGAGTCCTCTGTGTCCTGAGATCTAAAGCATTTAAACCTCTGACTTAGGACTAATATTGATCAGAAACTGTAAATATTCATGACCTAGTACCCTTACTTAAGAGGGTATATGGCATAACATGATCTATTTAGCTTGGGGTTCCAAGATGGTAGTTGTGATCACTTCATTAGTAATTTCATGCTTTACTTGCATCTTCCAAATTTGACACAAATTCTTCTTTTGGCACAACTTTAAACTAGAACCTTTAGGATTCTTAATTTAACCAAGTTGACATAGCACAGCATTGCACAGCACCAGACTGTTAGTTTTCACAGGGCTCTGTAGGACAGTAGAGTTACTGTTTGTGGTTTAGAACCAGCACCGTATTAAGAGTATCATTTGAGGGTTGTTGGAAAGGTACACCTGCTGAGAAATATTCCCCTACCCATCAATCTCTCTTCAGTGGTGCCCAGAGTTCTCACCATTTATCTCTCTTTGTGTTAAAGTATTATGAGTAAACCTCCCCAGTTAAAATGCATAATCTTACTGGGAGAGTAAGTACCTTAAATTTGGTTAGTTCATCATTTATATAAACCTTACCTCCTCACTTTGCTGGCCTAACACTGAAAAGGATTGGGTAGAGATGATGGAGAAAGCCCCAGTGTTATCGTAGAAGGTAAGGATGAGTTGAATATTTTGGTGAAAACCCCTAAAGATAGAAAGATATACATAACTGGAGAAGAAGGTGGAACTGGCCTACTTAGCTGTACTTCCTAGTAATAACTCTGCTTAGAACTAGTCTCTCCACTCTACTGCTGAAGGAAAAAATTACAGATGGTACTCATGAGATGTTAATATTCATATTTATGTTCATGAAGTTAACACAAGAATATTTAGAACATTTTCAGTTTGGAAAGGTATGTAACTGTGCAATGATTTGTTCTTTAGTACCTGGAAAATCAACTTATTTTCAGCTTGCCTGCTTTTTACACATATTATTATAATTTGCACTGATTAATTCCATTATAAATCTTGGGATGGAACTTTAAGACCAGGGTGTTTATTAAACTTCCTTTCCCTTTCCCCTTCCCTTTCTTTCTTTCCTGATATGATTCTTTAAATAAAATGCAGCGGTGATTTCTGTCTCTGACTTCTGGCAAACTGTCATCTTTTGCATTGTCTTGGGTACTTTTTTTCAATGGACAAAGTTGCAGGCAGAGATGGGTACCTGGAGGCAGCTACTCATGTTCTAGTTACTGGGAGATGTGACATGCAAGAGCAAAACTGGGCAAACATGATAGGTTGATATTGAGGACATTTGAGGTGAGCAAGTTGTTCTAGTTTATACATGAGACAGCAAGAGAAATTAATGAGGGAGATTGACAGTCATTTATACCACTGGCATCAGCAGGCATCTCAGCTAGGCTACTGGCAAAAGGTCACAGCTCATTTGCCATGGAGACAACCAACAGTGCAGTTAAAAATGACTCATTTTCAAACATTGTTTAGATACTTTATACTCTGTGGTGACAGAGGAGTGTCTCTTTTCCTCTCCCTTTCCTCCCCCACCCTTGACTCTTCAGCCCACTTGTGAGCATGCACGTGCTTTCTCTCTCTAAAAACATGCAGAAGCAATAAATCAACCAGTTTAAGAAGACCCAGCCAGCCCAACACAGATCGATTTCACAGGAAAGTCGATGGGTTGCTAATAGAATTACAACTACCTGTCAAAACAGGGAAAACATATCTGTGACAGTGACAAAGGGCAAATCAATTTAAGAAGAGGTTTTCTTTTTCTTCCAGAGACAGATGTGGAGAACATGGGTGTCTCTGAGAGTCTGTAACTGGAGGGAAACCATATACTTGGACTGCTAAAGCTAAGGTTACGTTAATGATTCTGGGAGAGCATACTCTTCAAGGTGCCATGAATTGCCAAGGGCATCTCTCTGGCAAATCTTTATTTTCTAAGTCAGCGTGATCATTTTCAGAGGCCTCATAAAACTGTTGGCGATGTGACTTTTACTAACAGCAGCTTCCATGTTCTGACTTAGCTTCTGCTTGCAAAGGAAATCTTGATCATGAGCACAATTCCCAGCCTAAATCCATCGTGTATCAATATGAGGCTCTTTTAGGTCAAGGACTTGATTATTAAAAACAATTCAGTATGCATTAACTTAACCCAGCACCACAGATTTTCTGCAAAACAAAGAAACTAACATAATAAGAAATATATATTTGGTCTCTCCCCCCATTTCCTGGCCTATAGCTTCTAAAACTCTTAGGATCTCTGAAGTGACAAGTATCTTTTGTATGGCAGTGAGATGACTGGTGGCTGGGGGACTTCTATATAACTTCAGGATGGGAACTGGTTGCCAGAGGAATGAATCATGTTATTAAAAGTTTGGAAGTTTCAGTCTCCTTGCTTGCCCCCCCCTTCTTTCTAGGTCGGGGAGAGAAACTGGAAGCTGAATTAATCAGTGGCCAATGATGTAATTAATTATGGTTATGCAATGAAATCTCCATAAAAATTGTAACTAGAGGGGTTTGGAGAGCCTCCAGGTTGGTGAACACATGGAGGTGCTGGTAGGGTGGTGCTCCAGAGAACATGGAAGGTCTGTGCATCCACCAAAATCCCACCCCCCAATACCTTGCTCTATGCAACTTTTTCTATCTGTTCCTGAGTTGTAGCTTTTATAATAAACATGGAATAGTAAGTAAAGTACATTCCTGAGTTCTGTGAGCTGTTCTAGCAAATTACCAAACCTGAGGGGGCAGGGCATGGGTATCTCCAATTTATAGCAGGTCAATCAGAAGCTCAAGTGACAACCTGGACTTGCAATTGGCAGGAAGAAGCAGGAGGGGGCCGCTTTGTGGGACTGAGTCCTTAATCTATGGGGTCTGTGCCAACTCCGGGCAGTTAGTGTCAGGAGTGGAAAGTTAAGTAGAGGAAAACAGGAGAGTTTTCCCTTTTAGAAATAAAGAAAAAAAGCAACCCATTGTTAGAACGGAATCTAACCATGTCATTGTAATCAGGAAATACAGTGGGTCTCATACAAACCGAAGCCCAGTGGCCCCGTGTACCCTCGTTGCTGTCCCCTCATTCGAGGAGAGCTGTTTCCTGATAGTACGGACAGAAGTTAGGAAACATGGTTCTGGAATCAGACACATCTGATTTTGGCCTGCTACCTGCTACTGACTAGTTGCATGACTTGGGTAAGCTGCTTAACCTTTGCAGCCCAACTTTTCCATTCTGTACAATGGAGTTATTAATACTGCTCACTTCAGTTGTTATCAGGATTAAATAAGCTAAAGTATAAATCCTATGGCCCTTCAATGCAGAAGGGAGAACACTCGACACCGCTCATTTCTGTAATCTTCTTTCTATCTGTGACCTTGCTGAGGACGGAATGATCCAACTGGCCACTTTTTGCTCCAGAAAGCTGGGTGAAATCTCCCCATTCTGTGTTTAAACTAACAGATATGTAAGAACTATGTTTGTCCCAGCCCCCTTATATACAACCCCCCCTCCCCATTGTCACATATCTTAAGGATCTTATATGTTCTTCTGTTCACTTCCATCTCTACCTTTTGACACAGGTCTCATTCCTGCCTGGGAAACTAGGCTAAGAAGGCAAGGAAAATGCCTCGTGGTATCTTTAGCACCTTGTGTTTGCTGGGGCATGGCTTTCCTACCTGACATTGAGGGCCAGTGATTCAGCCTCCTGGCTCAAGCAGGCTTTGCTGAGTCCAGTTCTCATTTACATTAACTCATTTGCATCCCCATTCCTACAAAAAAGGGAGTAAGAACAAGATTTTAATTACTTTCCAGGGATGTTAGATAGTAACCAATGACGTGTGTGTTTTTGAGAGGGTCTCTTCTCTTCCAGGTTGAATGCTAATCTGAGCTGCATTCCACAAGGACTTAGTAATAAAACCACGCTTGGCCCAGTTATTTCAGAATGATGCCTGTTAAGAGAGGCAGTAATCTAGCTGGATGCTCTGGTGTCAGCTTGTCCCGACATGCCTCTCACTTGGGCTCTATGTCCATTCACATTTTCTAGTGCAGCTCTATGCAATGCATCCTCCAGCGATCCCAGTTTCAGAGCTATTGTATTAGCATCGTTGTTTGACATGAACAAAATTGACAGTAGCCTTAATTTCTGTTCTTCCTTACATTTTTTACCCTTAAAGAAACTTGTAAAAAAGCACTATAGTATATCTATGTGGATAAAGATAAAAAACCAAGTTTCCCTTGTTATTCCCTTGTTAGGATAAATGTATGATTCATCTCAATGTATAATTAGGATCATTATGCAATGACTCCATATTTAGGACATTTATACATCATTACCCTGGAACTACATTTTTCTCAGAATAGTGGAACTGTTTCATTCTCTGAGGGGTGAGAAAGCTGATGGCCTGTGGGCTCAGTATTGGATATTTTAAGTCTGATAGAGCTGGAGGAGGAGGAGTGCTGAGTGACTGAAGATCTCCGTGTTAGCCTCTGGGTTGAAGTTTTTTGTGTAAGTCTACACTCTCTACCTTAAATTCCTCTTGT